TTTGGTGTTTACACCTGTTGCTGGCTCATTCGACACTCGATGACGCACTTGCCGAGTCATTCTCAAATAATTTATAACCCCTTCTTCGGAGGGATCGTTCCAGAAGAGGCCTGACTAAATTGACTAAATGCCGTGCTAATTTCATTTAGCACCCTACCGTGTTCCTCTCGTGTAGCTGACCATGGGGGGTTGTTTATTGAGGATAAAATTCACCTTGTGGAGTCCAAAAGTCAAACCGACACCCTTTTTCCAATTTACTGACCATAACGAAAAGGCACGAGCGGAAAAATCTATTTCAATTCAAATATTTATTTAATTTAAAAAATAATTCACTTTTATTTAATCCAAAAATAATTTAAATCATATAAAAATCATTTAAATTTTATTGATTTGATTCAAATAAATCATTTTTCAGGATAAATTTTGGGATGATGTCGCAATTTTAATTACAAGCTCCGGGTAAATTCAACTAATTTTTAAAATGTAGCCTAAAGGCCGTAAATTCTCAATCCGCATTCTATTGGGGATAAAAAGGTGGACCTCGCCCCAAAAATTAACACTTTTCTCATTTATTTGTCTTATTACTCACCATTTTATCACAACCGGTCTGATTCGATGACCTCGTTAACGTCCGCCTTTATCGATTTGGGTCTGACATTTATTTGAGACCGATAAATGAATGAACTCATTTACCTTTCTCACTTTACGACTGGCCGATGTTTTGTGTACGGTAATAAATTCAATGAATTTTCACCGCCATCGGTTTTCCGGTGTTTTCCCTCAATGATGATGATGCCATCGAATTAATGGGGAGCAGAAGTCCTAGACGGATGCCCGTCTCTCTGAAATGAGTGGAAAAGTTTTTTAAAGTTTTTTTTTTACTTGTTCTGAGGAGAGTGAGATGTGTAGAAAAAAAAAAATTGAAAGAAAAAAATGAGAAGGTGGATAGGAAGGGCGTCATTACTCTGCATGACTCTGCGGTATGGCTCTCGCTACTTCTTCAGCATCTCTACATCGTCCTTTCTTTCACAATTTTTTATCATCCACCATTGTATCATTCACACATAGGCAACTACTCACGATGACCATTGGCGATCGAGTCATCATGTGAATTAAAATTTCACGCTCCAATCACAGAGTCATCTTTCATTCATGGACTTCATATTATAATTTCTCATATCAAATTGGCACATTAATTCTAATGATCTCATAAAGTACTTTGGCTTTTCAATTTACGGACTGATTTATCCTCGTTACAAAAATTATTTATCTCAATTAAATAATTTGTTTAATTGTGTTTGTATTGTGAATGAAAATATATTTGCAATAAAAAATTGGGAGGAATTATTCAAAATCTTGGGGAAAATTTGTCCGGTGGCTTTTCTCCAGTGGCAAAAAATATTAATATCAATTTTTGGTATTCATTTTGTTTACAGTTCGCAATGAGTTTGTGATTTGCGATGCCATGTATATGAAAATATTGTCTATAGTTGAATCATTCTATTGCCCGGTATGTTCTACAATGTCCGGAGCCCAAAAATCGATTCCTCTATTATTTATAGAAAATAGATTGCCTCGATTTCGGAATAAGTAACTCGAATAAATTATGTCAACACATGCAAGTGCACATACAAATAATTAATTCCCCACCAGTTGGCAGTAGCTCGTCGCTTTTTATTCATAAAATCCAATCAAGTGGTTAATAATTACGCGAGGGTCCTCACCCGAAATAAATTTCAATTTTTCAAAATTTGAGATTCATTTCCGACAAAAAAAAATTTCATTGTAATTTTTTGATGGCAATATTAATTAACAGAAAAAAAAAGAATGGATCAAAATTAATATTTGATAAAAAATTCGGGGTTTTATTTCTGGAGATTAATTTTTGAAAAATGGTGGCTGCGGATTGCGATTGCGGCAACTGGTGTTTGAGGAAAATAAGGTAGAGGTATTTTCCGGGTATAGATTTGTTTGGAAATGAACTTTGATGGGTATTAACTCAACGAATGAGGAGAGGGGGTGTTAACAGCACTTGGAAACACAAAACAACAAGTTGACCGAAGTGAGTAATGCCCAAACGATTGGTTGCTCGCGCGTTTCACTCATCGGGCACGGGTGGAGTAGCATCCGACCCCGTTGCATGCCACAAATTGCCTCAAATATTTACGCAATTGGCATGATAACCGCATTACGTGATTATGTACGCTCGTTGCGCGCGCGATCCACCGTTGCACCCACTCATCTCTTTCTACTTCTGTATGTCGTATTCCCGGATACCCATGTATCCACCAACAAAATACATGTAGCTGAAGGCTCATTAAACGACCATTTGCCAATTGTACGCACTGCACGGTTTACCTTCTGCAAGATACTTCCGCTTTTCCGAGTGCTCAACGCGGAGAAAAAAAATATTTCTTATATCTGCACTCAGAAAAATAATATATTTCGTAACAAGTGCGGGAAAGGGATTTTGCGCGGGTGGAAAATTTTTCCGCATGCCGAAAATCACTTTCTGCACGAGTGAATATTTTTTTTTTCATAAGGTGCGGGAAAGTTACTTTTCGGCACATCGCGATGAAAAAATTTTTTTACCATATATATTTTCTTGTGATTACTAATATATTATCGAAAATTATCTCACCATTATTTTTTCCAAGTTCTTCTCGAATGATGGGAAGTACATGGATTTCAGCTGTTGAAAATTTGTTAATTACAGGGATTTTCGGCCCGTCGGTTTTCCATCGGCTGTTGGTGTACAGAGAGTCATGCAGTCGGTCATTTATCAGAAGTCCTCGAAACGGTAGATAAAGCAGGTAGTGCTGGCCTGAAGCAGACAATTTTAAAAATTAATTGAGAGAATTACGAATTATGGAAAAATTATGAAATAAATCATGAAAAATTGAATCTTTATTCAGCTATAAAAAAAATAATATATGTAAATATATATAATAAATGAATTTCACAGTCGGTAATCAAGAGCGTCTGGTATTTCCAGAGAGGATTGACTAACGTAGAGATTCAATTCTGGGACTTTGAGGGCCCGTCGACCGACTCGGTAACTGCCTCAGTAGTAGTACCGCTGTCAGAGAGACCAGTCGACGGGGTGCATGTTATTTACTGCGTAATAATAAAAAATTAAAAACCAATTGCGTTACGCAGAAAATAACATCGACCGTGCCGACTGATCTCCCTAACAGTGGGACTGCTACTGGGGCAGTTACCGAGTCAGCTGACGGGCGACCACCCCACCATTGGGTGCGACCCCCTCTTTCTCTTGGGGTGGGGTATACCGGCAGAACTGGGCCACTCACGGGGGGTTTCAGTGACCCCACCCGTACTGTAGTACTGTACCCCAGGAGAGGGAGGGCGACACGCAATGGAGAGGGGGGCCCGTCGACCGACTCGGTAACTGCCTCAGTAGCAGTCGCGTTGTCAGACGGGCCAGTTCACGCGGCGAATGTTATTTTCTGCTTTACGAAATTGGTATTCATTGAAATTTAAAAATTTGAAATTTTCAAAAAAGTAACAGGGGAGCATGATAATTGAGCAGGTATTTAGCTACTCAATTTTCATGCTCCTCTAATACTTTTTTGAAAATTTTGAATTTTCAAATTTCAGTGAATACCTCCTCGGTTCTCATGCTCCCCGGATACTTTTTTTGAAAATTTCGAATTTTTCAATTTCAGTGAATACCTCCTCGATTCTCATGCTCCCCTGATACTTTTTTGAAAATTTCGAATTTTTCAATTTCAGTGAATACCTCCTCGATTCTCATGCTCCCCTGATACTTTTTTAGAAATTTTGAATTTTTCAATTTCAGTGAATACCTCC